AGACTGGGATTAGCTGGGTAGCTCTTTTGGGAGCTGGTATAGACATGATGGATCAAATGGCCTCCTTCTGTAATGTAAAATTCTATGATCCTGAGTTAATTAGCAATAGTCAGTATGGATTTGTTAAGGGATGGTCATTTGGATAGAACCTGCAGAGAGGTGGTCACCCCGCAGTGTAAGACTCCAAAGGCAGCGAGGGAGTAGGTGATGATCAGGCCGAGTAAGAGGACCAAGCAGGTAATTCAGGAATTCCCTGAGCCCATTCGGCTGCAAAACAGATACATTGCTTTGGATAGTGCTGGGGGGAATGTCCTTTCTGAAAACATTTGATGAGGTCCCACATAAGAGATTAGCATGTAAACTTAAAATGCATGAGATTGGGCATAGTGTACTAACATGAATAGAGAACTGACTGGCAGACAGGAAACAAAAAGAAGGAATAAATTAATCGTTTTTCAAGTGGCAGCTAGTGACTAGAAGGGTACCACAGGGATTAGTGCTTGGACCCCGCACCTATTCACAATCTGTATGATTGATTTATATGTGGGAATGGAATGTAATATCTCCAAGATTGTAGATGACTCAAACTGGGTAGGAGGGTGAGTGTGAGGAGGATGCAAAGCTACCTCAGTGTGATTCAGACAAGTTGAGTGATCAGGCAAATCCAAAGCAGATGAAGCATAATGTGGATAAATGCAAAGTTATCCGCTTTGATAGCAACAGCAGGAAGGCAGATTATTGTCTGAATGGCAATAGATTGGAAAAGGGGAAGGTGCAATGGAACCTGGGTGTCCTTGTACACCAGTTGCTGAAAGTAAACGTGCAGGTACAGCAGACAGTGAAGAAGGCAAAAGGTATGTTGGCTTTCATAGTGAAAGGATTTGAGTACAGGAACAAGGATGTCTTATTGCCACAATACAGGGCCTTGGTGAAACTGGAATATTGTGTGCAGTTTGGGCTGTTTATCTGAGGAAGGATGTTTTGGCAATGGAGGAAGTACAACAAAGAGCTACCAGACTGGGTCCTGGGATAGCAGTACCGACATATGAAGAATGACTGGATCAATTAGGACAATGTACAGTGGAGTTTGAAGAATTGGGTGGTGGGGGGAAGATTCCCTAGAAATTTATAAAATTCTAACAGGAATAGACAGGGTTAAAGGCAGGAAGAATGTTCCTGATGACAGGGTAGTCCACAGCAAAGGTCACATTCTAAGAATTCAGGGTAGGACATTTAGGACTGAGATGAAGAGAAATTTCTTCACCCAGAAACTGGTGCACCTGTGGAATTCTCTGCCACAGAAAACAGTTCAAGCCAGGACATTGAATGTTTTCAAGAAGCAGTTAGATATAGGTCGTAAGGCTAAAGGGATCAAAGAGTATGGGGAGAAAGCAGGAACAGAATACTAATTAGGAAGAATAGCCATGATCGTATTGAGTGGCAGAGCAGGCTTGAAAAGCTGAATGGCCTACTCCTCCTGTTTTCTATGTAAGAAGTTGTAGAAACTGAGGCAGCAAAGGATGGTGTTGAATGTCCCAGTGTTTTCCTGCTTCGAGACAATGATTGATCAGTGGAAGAAAATTCTACTGGAGTCAGTGAAAATTAATTACTTGCGATCCCTCAAGAAATGGTTGGATGAATTTCTGGAAGACAAGGTGATCATAAAGTTTGGGGAGGCCTGGTGATATTATCACTAATCTATTAATCCAGAATCCCAGGGAATGTTCTGTGGATTCACATTCAAATCCCATTGTGGCAGAAAGTGGAATTTGAATTCAATAAGAATCTGGAATTAAGAGTCTGATGGTGACTGTGAAATCATTATCATCTGTCAGAAAAAAATTCATCTGTTTCACTAATGTTCTTTAGGGATGGAAATTGCCATCTTTACCTGGTTTGGTCTACATATGACTCCATACCCATAGCAATGTGGTTGACCCTTAACTACCTTCTGCACAGTTAGGAATGGGCAGTAGCTGCTAGCTTGATTGATTGATTTTATTGTCACGTATACTGAAATACAGTGAAATGCTTTGTTTATGAGCAGTACAGCAGATCACAGCAAGCAAAGGATGTACAAATCAAAAAGACTTAGAGGCACACAGGTTACATTGCAGGTTACATTACTTGAGGCTGGAGTCCATTCAACAGTCTGATAACGGCCGGAAAGAAGCTGTTCCTGAACCTGCTTGTGCTTATGTTCAGGCTTCTGTAACTTCTGTCTGATGGAACAGGTTGCAGGAGGTCATTACCAGCTCGTGATGGGTCTTTGATGATGTTTGCTGCCTTTCCATGGCAGCGAGCTGTGTAAATAGAGTCCATGGATGGAAGATTGGTTTCTGTGATGGCCTGGGCTGTGCACGCCACCTTCTGTAGTTTCTTACGGCCCTGGGCAGAGCAGTTGCCATACCAGGCCATTATGACCTGGACAGTATGCTATCTGATCGAAGCTATGCATCTGTAGAAGTTGATGAGTGATCATATGGACATGCCAAATTTCCTGAGCTGCCTGAGAAAGAAGAGGCATTGTTGTGCCTTCCTGACTGTTGCATTTACGTGGGAAGTCCAGCCCAGGTTGTTGGTTATTGTCAGTCCGAGGAACTTGATGCTCTCCACCCTCTCAACCTCAGTTCCGTTGATATAGATGGGGGCGTGTTCTCCTCCTTTCTTTCTGAAGTTGATGATCAGTTCTTTAGTTTTGCCGACATTGAGAGACAGATTGTTTTTGTTGTACCACGTCACCAAGCCCTCTGTCTCCCTTCTGTATTTTGACTCGTTGTTAGATATCCATCCCACTATGATGGTGTCGTCAGCAAACTTGTAGATGGCATTCGTTTTGAATTTGGCAACACAGTCATGGGTGTACAGAGAGTACAGTAGGGGGGTTGAGGACACATCCTTGGGGGGCTCCAGTGTTGAGTGTTATTGTGGAGGAGGTGCATTTACCTATCCTCAGTGATTGCGGCCTAAGGGTCAGAAAGCTGAGGGTCCAATTGTAGAGGGTGGAGCCGAGACCAAGGTCACACAGTTTTGAGATCAGGCTGGAGGGGATAATGATTGAAGGCGGAGCTGTAGTCAATGAGCAGGAGTCTGACATAGGTGTCTTTGTTGCCCAGGTATTCCAGGGATGAGTGCAGGGCTGGGGATAGGGCACTGTCTATGGATCTGTTACATCAGTAGGCAAACTGTAGGGGATTGAGGCAGGTTGGGAGACTGGAGTTGATGTGGGCCTTGACCTGCATTTCGAAGCACTTCATGATTATTGGAGTCAGAGCTATTGGGTGGCAGTCATTAAGGCTCGCTGCATGTGTTTTCCTGGGTATGGGGATGATGGTGGTCTTGAAGCAGGTGGGTACTTTGGCTTGTAGGATGGAGGGGTGTTGGTGAATACCTCCGCAGTTGGTCAGCACAGGATCTGAGTGCTCTGCCGGGAACACCATCTGGGCCGTCGCTTTCCTTGGGTTGACTGTCAGGAAGACTTCTGAAGTGGTGATAGAGGGAACAGGTGTGTCTGGGGCGTTTGGGGCAGATGTCGCCACACCGATGGTGTTCTGCTCAAACCGAGCATAGAAAGCATTGAGCGTGTCAGGGAGGGACGTGTTATTGTCCGCTATCTTGCACTCTTTCATTTTGTATCCCTTAATGGTCATTTAGGCCTTGCCATAGACGGTGGGAGTCTGTTTGGTAGGTCTGGGCCTCTAACTCGGCCGGCACTGCCTCTCGGCCTCCTTGATGGCTTTGCAGAGGTCATATCTGGATTTTCTCTATTGGTCTGGGTCACCCGACTTGAATGCTGCATGTCTGGTCTTCAGTAAGGAGTGGATTTCCTGATTCATCCAAGGTTTACAGTTGGGGAACACTCAGATTGACTTCTTTTGGTGCACAGTCTTCCAAGCATTTGCTAACGAAGTCCGTGATGGTGGCAGCGTACTCATCTAGGTTTTCCGCTGAACTCTTGAACACGATCCAGTCCACCAAGTCTGAGCAGTCCTGGAGATGGAATTCGGCTGCCTCGGACCAGCACTGTACTTCATTTTGTGTAGGATTCTCCTGTTTTGGCTTTTGCTTGTAAGCTGGGAGGAGGAGCACAGTGCTGTGGTCAGAATTTCCGATGTATTGGTGGGGGATTGAGTGGTAGGCATCGTCCAGAACTGGCCTGGCCAATTATGCCCACATACTGTAAATGGGCATTTAAAAAGTCATTGCAAACCAGAAAGAATCTCAAACCCTTCCTAATGCACCCATTCAGAAGGAGATGTGATCTCTCAATGTGGTACCCAATTGTTTCTTAAACGATTCCAGATTTTTTCCCTCTGCTGCTCCATGCAGACGTACTGTTTTCACTGTTTATGTCAAGAAGAATTTTCTGGCATGAGTCCTAACTATTTTATTAGTTTAAATCTCTGCCGTCTTGTTCTAATTTGACAATTGAATTCATGGGTGCAGCAGTGCAGTATTTACGTTATTCCACTGGTAATCCAGGGAGGAAGAGTGAAAATCCTGCTGTAATAGTTTGAGGATATGAATTTGACTTCTCTAGCTTTTCCATAAATTTTTCTGCTCCTCTGTACACCCTCCCTTTTGGTCTATTTACCATTACCTCTTCATTGTTTTTATCTTCTGTACTGCCCTGTGCGTCATTCCCCCAGGTCTGAGTGACAGTCAGGCCTGCAGTTTGGTCATTAGGCTTGGGAATTAAAACAGTGCCCGAATCTGGCAACTGACAATGAGCCTGCAATTTTCTTCGTCAGTGCGCACTGACATCCAATCCTGAGGTAAAACTGGGGTTAGGCCATCCCTGCAGTTGAGAAATGTGTGAGATAAATACATATAAATTACGCAAAGTAGGATTCCTGAGCTTTAATGGAGTCTAATGGAAATTAAAATGGGGAGAATTGCTTTTCAGGCTCCTGACTGACTTTCAATATCCCACCACATTAAGATCTATCCTGGGACGCGTACAGCTTTATTAAAGTTTAAATTACGATTTGCTTCTGCAGAGCCGCAGCTCTTGAGCAGTTTAAATCTTTGGGTGCGGAACCATTAGAAGTAAACATTAAAGAGTCTGGAGAAGGTACAGGAGGTTATGCCAAAGTAATGTCCAAGGAGTTCATCGATGCAGAGATGAAGCTGTTTGCGAAACAGTGTGGAGAGGTAGATATCATCATCAGTACGGCCCTCATTCCAGGTAGGATATTTTATAGTTGAAATATTCGAATTAGTTTGGATGGCTTGCAAGTCGACATACTAAATTTAGTATTTCTTACCTTGCAACAAATATATTAGCCTGCTAGTTCAGTACAAAATTAGACTCATGTCAAAGTCACGGGGAAAATTGTGGTTGGATCTGAGATTTCAAAGTAATTAGAGGCTGCTTGGGTAGAAAAGAGAGTGAGAGTCAGGAAAACATGCATGGTTCAATGCAAAACAAAAGAAGTTAACTTTGCTTGAAATGAGTATCCTTATTTGATACTGAGTAAAATGAAACTGTTTTAAAGTCGAAGAAAAATAAAAATAAATATGCAGTGTATATTGATATTGCTGTTTGGTATTTTAAAGTGATGAAAGCAGTAGAAATACCTCTCTAGCCTTTATCATTCTGGGAATATTGGTATTCCTCACACAAGAAAATCTTGACTAAACCTTGACTAGTAATACGTACAGCTTTGTAACATGATTGTATTAGAATTGGCACAGTCCCCTGTTATTAAAAGCATATGTTCTTCTTGGTCTGTGCCTTTCTGATGTACAAAAAGCTGAGACTACCTCCCTGAAACTTCCTTTACTAATAGAATTAGCATTAGGCTTTATTGTCACATGTACTCAAGCACAGGAATACGGTAAAAAGTGTACGAGTCATCATTCTCTGGTGCCATATTGGTTACACACTTGATTACAAAACTGGAATAAAATTACAGCAGAAGTAAAAGGAACAAAGCAAAAAGGAATGAAATGCGTCTAGATGTTAGAGTCTTATTTAAGGCTTATCTCCATGTAGGATCTCAGACCATGGGCGGAGCTGAATGCTTGTTGTCACTACCGCCTTCGATCTCCTCCTTCTGCTACTGCTGCCTCTGATTCCAATATAGTTTCAGACCAGACCCCTATGTATTTAGCTAAAGGTTCAAAGGTATGAGCGGAAGAGATAGTACCTGGATCCCTGGAACACTGGTGGGCACAGAACCCAAACCTGCACCACTGGGGCAGTAAATGCGTCAGTAAACGCGTCAGTAAACTGAGGAGTGATTTATGCAGCATTGTTCTTCAGTGCATCTTCATCCCCTCTTCCTCCCATTAACTCTTGCTTTATTCTCCCCCAGATTCCGTGACCCTCAAAGCAGCTGACTGAATATCAACTCAGTATGGATGCCATGAAAGCTCCCAGCATGTTGTAGCTGGTGTCTGCTGGCAGCCTGACCCTGGAGGACTTGAGATTTTCTTAGGTCTTATAAACCCTACCTGGACTTCTTCTGGGCCATTTCTTCTGTCCAAACCCCACAAGGATCCTAATGTTTCAAGCACATCCAGGAGGCGGGATAAGTCTGGAAGTAGGGTCTACTTTCTCCCACCAGATCATTTAAATGAGGGCAAAACCTGAAAGTTTTTTTTACTGCCAGCTTTTGGGCAGGTAGCACAAGTTCACAACAAACGTGAGTTTCAGTCAGTAATGGAAGACCACCCTAAATATGGCTTTGGTAGTCATATTGGATTAGATATGTAACAGTTGTGTCTTAGCTGAAATTATAAACTAATGGGCATGTATAGAGAACAATAACAATAACTAGCATTTATCTAGCTCTCTTCACATAGGACGGTATCCTGAGGTATTTAATAGAAGCATTGTCAAACTACATTTGACACAGAGTTGCGTAACGAGACTTTTAGACAGGTGACCAAAAACCTGATGAAGAGGTAGGTTTTAATGTGCATTTCTAAAGAGGAAACAGAGATAGAGAGGTTTAGGAGGGGATTTCCAGATCTTTAGCGCCTAGGCCTGGGCACAATCAACATAGTGGATTGATGCAAATTAGGAATGCTCTAGAGGTCAGAATTGGAGAAACACAGAGATCTCAGAGAGCTGCACAGTCAATTTATATCATTGGTACAACCAGAAATTCCCCTGACTAGTTTACTAGCATGGCACCTAATATTTACTGCAGGATTTCATTGATAAAGCTTGCTAAAGTCAGGAAGAATTTAAACAACAGTAGATTCTGTGTCTAATATGATTAGCCAAAATGACTAGTATCCTGGAGTTTTAGTGAGAGGAAGTTGCTCCCAGCTGAATCTGAGCATGAGGAATCAATTTGAAGAAAATCAGATAAGATCAAGAATGACTCAAAACAGTTAAAGGTTATATATCACATATCTCTTCTGAGTCTTGCTTTGAAGCTGAGGATGTTTTGGCAGGCTTGATTCACATTCTCACAACAATCATAAACTGGATATGTTACCACATTGTGTGAGGAATGCTTAGAGAAGAATCCATGCAGTGCAGAAAAAGGCTGTTCAGCCTATCGAGTTTGCACTGACCCTCCAAAAAGCATCACACCCAGACCCAGCCCTCACTCTCTCCTGGTAATACCCCATTTCCCATGGCCAATCCACCTAGCTTGCACATCCCTGAACACTACAGGGCAATTTAGCATCGTCAGTCCACCTAACCTGCTTATCTTTGGACTATGGCTTGAATGAGAGCATTAAGATTTGGGTGACGTCTTCTAGTCTGAAACTTTAAACTATGTTCTTTTTAATGAAGGAAACAGTGGAATATCACTCTGTCTTCCCCTGTCCCAGGAGTTTACATGTTAACAAGGCTCAAGGATCCCAAATGCCAGAGAGATTTCTGAGTTCTGATTCATTTGGAAAGCACAGCTTTATTGTCATTCAGTGTCAGTGCCAAATCAGTAAAATTATCATTGGCTAAAATGAAAACTAAAATGAAAAAATGAAGTAGGGCAAGTGACTAAAGTGATAGTAGGGGAACACTTTGGAACTAGTGATCATAATTCTATTAGGTTTAATATAGTTATGGAAAAGGGTAAGCCTTCTCTAAAAGTTAAAGCTCTTAATTGGAGTAGGATAAATTTTAATGGTATAAGACAAGAACTTTCAAAAGTTGATTGGAGTAGACTGTTTGCAGGTAAAGGGGAGTCTGATAAGTGGGAGTCTTTCAAAAATGTGATAATGAAAATTCAGAGACATTATGTTCCTGTTAGAGTGAAAGGTACAGCTGGTAAGATTAGGGAACAATGGATAAATAAAGATATTGACGTTTTAGTCAAGAATAAAAAAGAATCATATATTAGATACAGACAACTGCGATCAAATGAATCCCTTGAAGAATATAAAGAGTGTAGGGGCATTCTTAAGAGGGAAATTAGGGTGACAGAGAGGGGATATGAGACCAGCCTTGGCAGGTAAGGTTAAGGATAATCCAAATAGATTCTACAAGTACGTTAAGAGCAAAAGAGCAACTGGAGAGAGAATATGGCCCCTTAAGCATCAATGAGGTCATATATGTGTTGAGTTTCAGGAGATGGGAGAGATATTAAATGAATATTTCATGTCAGTTTTTACTGTGGAGAAAGAAAAAGAGGCTAGAAAACTTGGGGAAATAAATCTTGATGATTTGAAAACAGTTCACATTACAGAAAACAAAGTGCTGGAGGTCTTAGAAAACTTAAAGGTGGATAAATCTCTGGGACCTGATCAAGTGTGTCCCAGGATGTTGTGGGAAGTTAGGGAGGAAATTGCGAGAACCCTTGAAGAAATATTTGTATTATCTAAAACCATGGGTGAGGTGTCAGAGGACTGGAGGGTGGCTAATGTTGTGCCTTTATTTAAGCAAGGCTGTAAGGAGAAGCCTGTGAACTATAGACCTGTGAGTCTGATATTGCCAGTAAGATGTTGGCAGTGATATTGAAAGATAGGATTTATATGCATTTTAAGAGGTAAGAATTAATTAGGGATTGTCAGCATGGTTTTGTGTAAGAGAAATCATGTCTCACAAATTTGATTGAGTTTTTTGAGGAAGTAATCAAAAAGAATGATAAGGGAAGAGCAGTAGATGTTGTTTACGTGGACTTTAGTAAAGTCTTTAACAAGGTTCTGCATAGTAGACTAATTAGTAAAGTTAGATTATGTGGGATTCAGGGTGAGCTTGCTATTTAGATATAAAATTGGTTTGACAGTAGGAAACAGTGGGTAGTGGTTAGGGTTGTTTTTCAGACTGGAGACCTGTGACCAGTGGTGTTCTACAGAAATCGGTACCAGTTCTACTTTTGTTTGTCATTTACATAAATGATTTGGATGGGAATATAAGAGGCAAGGTCAGTAAGTTTGTGGATGACACCAAAATTGATGGTATTTTAGACAGTGAAGAAGATTATCTAAGATTACAAAGAGATCTTGATCAATTGGCTCAATGGGCTGAGGAGTGGCAGATGGAGTTTAATTTGGATAAATGTGAGGTATTGCATTTTGGTAAAACAAACAAGGACAGAACTTATACAATTAATGGTAGGACTCTTAGTATTGTTGTAGAACAGAGACTTAGGGGTTCAGGTACATAATTCTTTGAAATTTGTGTCACAGGTAGATAGGGTGGTTAAGGAGGCATTTAGCACGCTTGTCTTCATTGCTCAGACCTTTGAGTATAGGAGTTGGGACATCATGTTGAGGTTGTATAGGATGTTGGTGAGATCTTTCTGGAGTACTGTGTGTAGTTCCAGTTGCCCTGTTATAGGAAGGATATTATTAAACTGGAAAGGATTCAGAAAAGATTTACCAGGATGTTGCAGGAAATGGATGGTTTGAGTTCTAAGGAGACTCTGGATAGGCTGGGACATTTTTCACTGGAGCACCGGAGGTTGAGGGGTGATCTTACAAATATTAGTAAAATGATGAGGGATATACATAAGATGAATGGTAGGTATTTTCTCCTTAGAGGGGGGGATTTCAAGATAAGGAGGCATATTTTTAAGATGAGAGGAGAAAGATTTAAAACAGACATGAGGGGCAACATTTTACACATAGAATGACTCATGTTTGGAATGAACTTCCAGAGGCAGTGTTGGATGCAGGTATAATTACAACATTTAAAAGACATTTGGATAAACACATGAATAGGAAAGGTTTGGAGGGATGTGGGAGTAGTTTAGTTTGGGAATGTGGTCGGTGTGGACTATTTGGACTGAGACATCTCTTTCCATGCTCTTTGGTTCTATAACTCTATGACTAAACGTTTTAGGAAGCTTGATGAAAAGATATGAGAGTTGATCTTAAGGTGTAGGATTCACAATATAATAGTTCTAAGATGGAAGAAACTATAAAAAGGGCCAGAACTTAGACAAATAAAATTTTTGAGCAGGATTGTCACTTGATTTGAGAACTTTACTGACTCCACAGACCCACCTCAGTTTTAAGGGCCAAATCAAACTCATTTTTTGCTCTGAGCAAAAGGGGGTGGACTCCTTGGCAATATTTGAGGCTGGAGGCCCATTGTCCGTGACTTTTTCCTAGCATTGGAAGGCATTAGGCCCTTAGCCCTCTCCTCCTCACCCACTCCCCGTGGCTTCTCCATGCATTTTCATATCCTATATCCCCATGTCACCTCCAAAGCCATCATCAAGAGCAAACATCAGGAGCCATTTACTATCTGTGGGAAGGCTTTCAAACAGACATAAAAAAAATTCTAACAATCTAATTGAACTTCACTCAAACACATTTCAAACTAAAAAAAAGCTCCAGATCCAATGAAAAATAAAAGTTAAATCCTGTTCATTTATTCAATCAGTTATAAATAAATAAATATTTGTTCAATAAACATACCAAAAACAGCTTATCTTCTAATTGTCTCTTTAAACTGTCAATCAAAATATGAATTCAGCCCTCCCCGTTGTGGTAAGTGCTTTTGAAGCCATTGAAACTCAGCCAAGTCTTCACAATAACTTTGCTTGTACCCACTGTGGTCACCACGAAGGTCCTGCCTTACTCAGCCTTGCCGCAGGTCTAAAGAAAGGTGACCATCAGGTTAAGTGTACCATCAGTTATCTCTCTCTAATGAGGGAGCAGCCCTGTGGCCTGTGGGATTATGGCTGCTATCATTATCATGCCAGTTTGTAATGACACCTGTTGGAAGATGTCATTAAAGATCTCTATTGAAATGACAGGAACAGATCTTTTTTCTAAGCTGTGCCAGATGGCATGACAAACAAAGGAGTTCTTTTTTTTATTTAACTCTGATATCTTCGGTTTGTTTTAGGGCTGTAGATTTTTTTAAAAAGTGTCAAATCACAAGAATTAAATGGCCCTTATCTGCCCTTCAAATGCTTGTACGTCCATTCTATAAAACACTACAGGTTTGAACTCTTGGAACAGCAAACCTGGGGCCTGTTTGATTGAACTCAGCACTATTTTCAAATGGACCTGCTGAGTTTGGGCTTCTTATCTGTGTGCTCACACCACATCCCCCTCTAAAACCTGGCAAAACTGAGATAGGCATGGGACTTCCATAGTGGGGTCCTACTAGCTATTTTTAAAAGCCTCCAATATCAGCCTGACTCCATGAAAATCCAACCTTTAATTGTAATTGAAGTATTAATTATTGACGTCTTATATGGAATTGGGTGAAGAATTAAATAATTCTGACACCTTGATAAAGTGAATTGTGTGGAATCTCCCAGGCCCTGAATGACACGGGCCATGATGAGAAAGTTGGAACAATTGCATGAAATGGCCAGGAAAGACCTTCTTGATACTAAGAGCACAACGTTTGATCTTGGAACCAGTTGTTGGGCTGTGAGACGGATTTCTCACTAGTGAGCAGATAGAGGCTTATTTGCATGAATTGGCATTCATTAACATCTCATTATTATCTAATCTCACCTCTTGAACATGCTGTTTCCCGCTTACCCATCCATTGGATAGAAAATAGACATTGACAATTCCAAGCATGAAAGAGAGAACAGTTACCTGGCAACTTCAGCTGGCTGTTTGCTCCTCTGGACCTCCAAATTGGACACCAGTCACCAACAGGAAGCCAGTTTGGGAGCTGCACAGATCTCAGTCAGGGGTTCGTTCACACTTTGGTCGTAGCTGTCTGGCTAAGTTGGTCTAGAGGGTGGACCACAATGAGTGGGTTCGGTATTAAAAGTCAAGGGATTATCACAGGCCACTGCTGTGGAGGGAAGCTGGGGAATTCATTCGTGGGGATTGACAGCAGCCTGCCGGGATACAGAGAAGATAACAATTATGAAATAGTCATATAAGACAGTGGGGGTTGGGTGCAGTACAGCATTGAAGGGAAAGGGGTAATGTGGCAGGGGAATAATCATCAGTTAGCAACATCCTGGCTGCGATATGGGGGCAGAGCAGTGGATTATTGTATTTGGCATGTGACTTGATATGCCTGGGAATGGGGAGCATTGAGACATGAAGACTTAGGTAGCTGGCTAGGTGAGAACATTGGAAGTTCAAACCAACAGGATTGACATTGTGGGCTATCAAGAATGTAATGTGTACATTTGGGGATTCACCAAGGGCTCGAGGCTGAGCCTGAGACTCACTGTATGAGGATCAGCTGCTGTTTCCTTCCATTGTGCTATAAACAACAAGAGTACAGTGGAGCTGAAAATGGCTGCTATCACACCTGGAGTGGGCGGAATTGCATATTGTGATGTGGGGGAGGGGGGAGTCTTCATTTCCCAGTGATGTGAGGCCCCTCAAAGAGCAATAGCATTAAGCAGACAGTCACACAGTACAAATGAAAGACACCTGGGATAACAAAATGCTCTACAGCATTAATGGCTGTGATGCAGGAGCAATGATATGCCTCCTTGAAAGAGTCACCCTACTTGGTAAATTTGCAAGCCCCTTCCAGGTTCCCATATCACGTACATGGTTCAGGAGCCGCTCTCTTCATACCTTGGATCATAAAACCTCATATAGGGCAGCTGGACACTTTACATTCAGTGTTATATTTGCAGCGAGAAAGACGTTTGTTCATGTATCTGATGATGAAAATTGAATAAATATCTACATACATGAGAACGTATTTAGAATTAAGTGTCAGCTATGGCACTGATATAGCCTCAGAAGGTTTTCTTCTCTCCCAATACATCTTGTTGCCACTGGGGGAAGCCTGTTGGCCTTGCAGGTTCGGTCTGATAATCCCAGACAGCATTTGTGGCTAAAAGGGCCAGACATGCTGCGTGTGTCCTGCCCAAAGGAAGGTGCATTCTCCTCATCATAACCTCCCTCAGGGTGCGGGTGGCTGGCAGGATGGAGCTGGAGAGCCCAGCCACCTCTTGAATGTCCTGAGAGGAGACCTCTAGAGGCACAGTGTGTGGTTCCTCCTCCAGCTGGCTGCCTGCTGGCACTGCCCTGTCTCCTTGTGAGGTAGCGGCACAGAGAATGATAGGCCCTCGCCTTGCTGTCACCTTGTTGTTGGTGTTGAGCACCAGTAGCTGGAACAGTGGAGTGCAGGTCAGTGTCTGTTTCTCCACCGGACCCTGAGAGTGTTGGACTCAGCTCCCCATAACATTTTACAACCTGTCCACAGAGGTAGCCAGCAGCATACTCAAGCTAGGATGTTGCAAATAGCATTGGTGTGGTCCTGCAACCTTTAGGTCAGTTTACCCAGTGCCTCCAACAAATCTGCCTGCTGCTCCTGTGTCAGTTGATACATTTGTATGGAATCCCTAATTGCAGACACCGTGGGATTCTCTCCTGTTTTGAGCTGAGCAGGTGCTTGTTCCCTGGTAGTCCTCCATGTGCCAACAACTTGGACATTTCTCTCTCTGTACCAGCTACAGAGACATGGCAGTGATGTACTTCCAAGCATGTGCTCCCCGAACTCTAATTTAGCTAGGGTTCCCATAAAGATGTATGGATCTGTGCTGGCGGAGGGTGCAGGGGACGGTCTTACCAGTGCTTTCTCTGAGATGGGGGAGGAGTAGTGCTGCTGCCGTTTGGCTGCCAACTCTGTGCCTTTTTCACTGGTACCTCCAGGAGATGAAAGAGAGAATACATTACAAACAAGAGGTAGAAGTCTGGGAAGGTTAAGAATACACTCACAGCGGTGATAATGTGAGAATAGCACTGCACTGGGCACTGTTTCTTATTTGGTTGCCAGGACTTTGAGTATAGGAGTTCAGATGTTATGTAAAGTTTGTACAGGACTTTGGTGAGGCCTGAACTGAAGTACTGTGTACAGTTCCGGACCCCCTGCTATTGGAAGGATATTGTTAAATTGGAGAGGGTTCTATTGCAAGAGTCATGTTTTGGAACAGCTGAATGAAAAATACACTGTTCATTCTTTAAGTTTGCCCTGAATTTCCCTTTTGATACTGAAGTTGCTAAATGCTATTTGTTAAGTTTGTGTCATAAGTAGAATCATATATCTAGAAATTTGCAGTTTAAAATCAGCTTTAAGATAGTTGTTTCCCATTCATGAGCAGTAGAATTCATAAAGATATTGTGTCCAAAGCTCTCATCCAGTTTTAAAATCTAATTTAATATTTCTACAGGCAAGAAAGCTCCTTTATTGATTACCAAGGAAATGGTTGAATCAATGAAGGATGGATCGGTTGTTGTGGATTTGGCTTCTGAAACAGGAGGAAACATTGAAACCACTAAACCGGGGGAGCTTTATATTCACAAGGTATGAAAGTTGAAACGAGTGTTCCTGGTATACAGCTATTAATATGGAAGATTCATTTTTGAGGCGTCACCATTTACAATGATTGTAAAAATCATCTTGTAAACCTAACCATTGTTATTGGATTTTTTTGGGAAACTGTCCACATTTTTCAGGACATCACTGGTGACCTTAATTGGTAGGAGGGAGGTGTTGTGTTGTGGGGTTAGTTGGAAGAAGACTTTGTTTCCGTATGGTTAATGAAATGCTCGTTTTCTCATGGGCTTTGCAAGGGCATTGACAATGACCTGGAGCTCAGTATCTGGGTGTACACACATGTCATCTGCATACTGGAGCATAATGACTGAGATTCAATTTCTCCTCAAACTTGGCTATCCATAAAGAATTACCACCTTCTTTCACCTGCTGCACCATGACACACAAGCCGTGATCTTCACCAATGGAACTGTCGTAGATCAGTGATATCTGTGGTAAAATAAGGCTGTGATATTTCACCAACTCATTTTTTCCAATTTCCTTGCTTCAATACTTGAACAAGCGACCCAAAGGTATGAAAATTATTACTGAACAGAATAGTCACTGCATATGAATCCCCAGAACCTTCTGTTTCTGTACACCCTTTTTAAAAACAATACTATTTAATCTATATCTCTGTCCCTAACATTTCTGTCAAAGTGTATCACCTCACAGTTCTCAGTATTAAATTCCATCTGCAAGTTGTCTGCCCATTCCGCTACCTCTGTCGCTGCTGATTCATATCATTTTCACTGTCAGCTTCTCCTCCAAAGGGAATCATCAGCAAGTTTTATTCCAATATCCAAGGAATATATCAGAAAAAAGCAGTGGTCCTAACATTTACCCTAGGGGAATATCACTTCCACCATCTTCCAGTCTGAAAAACAACCAATTACTATAATTACAAATACAGTGAACATAAATAACTGCAGATGCTGAAAATCCAAAACCAAAACAGACAGTGCTGGAGAAACATAGGTTTGGCAGCGTCTGTAGAGAAAAAAGCGGAGATAAGATTTTGAGTCTAATAACACTTTGTCAGAACTGTAAATAGCTGGGAAAGGGTGATATTTATCATGCTATTAGCAGGATTTGTTGTTTTCTTGGCTTAAGTCAATTTCTACCTAAGCTGATGCTGACCATCATATTCTCCATTTTGTTAACCACAGTTTTATATATTACTTTGTCAAAGCCAATCTTAAAATCTTTATTGTCTTATTTCATCAAAAAATTAAATCTGATTAGTCCAGCTTGATATGCCTTTTACAAATCTGTTTTGACTCTCCTTGATTAACTCAAACCTCTTTATGTGCTTTTTGATGTTTTTCTCTTGGTTATTGATCTAAATCATTAGCCAGCCCAGAAATTAAATGAAGCAGCCCAGAGTTACAAGGTGTTCCTTACACCCTTTCCTGATAGGGGTATTAGATTTGCCACTTTCCAGTTTTCTGGCACCTTCCCCACACCTTAGGACAGTTGAGAAATAGAGGAAAATCTATTTAATATCTCTACTTCCACTTCCTTATGCACCTTGCGATGCAAGTCATGAGAATTAAATGTCTTATCTGCTGTAAGTATAACCAGGCTTCCCTGTGTATTCTTCTTTCCATTTTACTTCCTATCCATTAGCTGTACTATTGTCATTTCTAATGATATTTTTTCACCATACCCTTTCTTTGTAAGCATGTATGCAAAATGTTCAGTAGAACATAGAACATAGAACATTACAGCGCAGTACAGGCCCTTCGGCCCTCGATGTTGCGCCGACCTGTGAAACCAATCTGAAGCCCATCTAACCTAAACTATTCCATTATCATCCATATGTTTATCCAATGACCATTTAAATGCCCTTAAAGTTGGCGAGTCTACTATTTTTGCAGGCAGGGCATTCCACGCCCTTACTACTCTCTGAGTAAAGAACCTACCTCTGACATCTGTCCTATATCTATCACCCCTCAATTTAAAGCTATGTCCCCTCGTGCTAGCCATCACCATCCGAGAAAAAAGGCTCCCACTGTCCACCCTATCTAATCCTCTGATGATCTTGTATGTCTCTATCAAGTCACCTCTTAACCTTCTTCTCTCTAACGAAAACAGCCTCAAGACCCTCAGCCTTTCCTCATAAGACCTTCCCTCCATACCAGGCAACATCCTGGTAAATCTCCTCTGCACCCTTTCCAATGCTTCCACATCCTTCCTATAATGCGGTGACCAGAACTGTATGCAATACTCCAAGTGCGGCCGCACCAGAGTTTTGTACAGCGGCAACATGACCTCATGGCTCCGAAATGCAATCCCTCTACCAATAAAACCTAGCATACTGTACGCCTTCTTAACAACGCTATCAACCTGGGTGGCAACTTTCAGTGATCTTTCTGCTCATCCACACTACCAAGAATCTTACCATTAGCCCAGTACTCTGTATTCCTGTTACTCCTTCCAAAGTGAATCACCTCACACTTTTCCGCATTAAACTCCATTTGCCACCTCTCAGCCCAGCTCTGCAGCTTATCTATGTCCCTCTGTAACCTGCAACATCCTTCCGCACTATCCACAACTCCACCAACTTTGGTGTCATCCGCAAATTTACTAACCCATCCTTCTACGCCCTCATCCAGGTCATTTATAAAAATGACAAACAGCAGTGGCCCCAAAACAGATCCTTGAGGTACACCACTAGTAACTGAACTCCAGGATGAACATTTCCCATCAACCACCACCCTCTGTCTTCTTACAGCCAGCCAATTTCTGATCCAAACCGCTAAATCACTCTCAATCCCATGCCTCCGTATTTTCTGCAATAGCCTACCATGGGGAACCTTATCAAATGCTTTACTGAAATCCAAATACACCACATCAACCGCTTTACCCTAATCCACCTGTTTGGTCACCTTCTCAAAGAACTCAATAAGGTTTGTGAGGCACGACCTACCCATCACAAAACCGTGTTGACTATCCCTAATCAAATTATTCCTTTCTAGATGATTATAAATCCTATCTCTTATAATCCTTTCCAACACTTTACCCACAACCGAAGTAAGGCTCACTGGTCTACAATTACCAGGGTTGTCTCTACTCCCCTTCTTGAACAAGGGGACAACATTTGCTAGTCTCCAGTCTTCTGGCACTATTCCTGAAGACAATGACGACGTAAGTATTTTAAACATTGTCCTGCGTCTCCTGTCCTTTACTGGACAGTAAATTCCTTTGGTTGAAGAGTAGCCATCCTGCAACATTTAGACAAGCTACCTGCAAGGTAGCAGCTGTTGAGTCCTCCTGTAATTAATCTCAGTGGCAGTAAGAGGAAGCCTTAAATAGTCTTTAATTGACCACTTAAGGACTTTGATTCCTAGAGAGGTGAGAAGGTTGACCAAGTCCCACTCAAAACTTAATTCTGGTGCAGCCAGGACATTACAAGTAACAGGTCTCAGCTTCCCAACCCTCAGATTCTCTATTTATCCTTTTTGCTAAACATAGTTAGTGTCTTGTATAACTGTTAATTTTAGTTGATGTCTCTGGATCTTCTCTGTGCTAATGCTTTCTTAATTCACTTGCTGCAATACATACCCCTTACTTAAATGTTATTGGTCTAAGTTAAACTGTAAATTTGCAACTGTTTGTTATCCTGGTGTTAGTTTAAACTACAATCCAACTTGAAAGAGAAAAAAAACCTTAAAATCTTACCTACCAACCAATCACCCACCTGCTACTCTCTAACACCAGTCCTTCCGTTTTTATTGGAGAACACTCTGTAAAGATCTGCTCTACTCCCAGTTGGATTTATTAGCTGCTATTTCTACTGCAACACCTCACTGTCTTCTGATCCCTCAATCAGGCTGCTCTATCTAAAGGTGCAGAACATCACCCCTTCCTTCACTACACCAAACTCCCTCACTAACCAAAATTCCCAAACTAAACATTCAATTATAGCAGTACTCTGTCAAGCTGGCCACCGTTTCACTTACTTTCCTATAAATAGCTGAAGGTTATTTGTGTTAAATCAAATTTGAATTAATACATTAGAAAATAAATACAATTGGATGAGGTCATTCGGCCTATATTTAATAAGATACTTGCAATTTTAAAAGATTTGCATTTCTGCATTAAGACACATCCCTGTATGTTTAATGATCTTAAATTTAATATTTCCTCTCGAATATAAAGAAGACAACTTCAAATGTTAATTATTCCTTCTGTATCTAATTTTAGCACGTGCGCAGTTATTCAGTGCCCTGGTTTGCACTGGAGTAATTTTTTGGATTTATTTACTGTTGATGTTCACTATCTTGTCACTTAAATTAGATGCACTCTATTGCCATTTCTCAGGAACCCTAAGTTTGTCAGACCTACCCAGTTCTCTGACCGTGTACAATTTTTGTGTGATTTCTTCTGACTTAATACCCAACTAATGTCACTATATAGTTTGATGCGCTCAGTGTTTTGGTATTGCTGCTTGTCATTGGTTTTATTTACTAATTGTGTTTCTGTTCCGGACTCTAGGCTTCCTTTGACTAAAAACAATGAATTGTAACCATTCTGTTAGCTCACCTTCTTAATGCTGAGAGAAAAGTATTTCACTTGTATATTTATCAGCATATTGTCAAAAATATTAGAAGTAGCTTGTTTTTTCTTCCTCTTTTTTAAGGGGGTGACTCACATTGGTTACATGGATCTTCCCAGTCGACTAGCTACCCAATCCAGCACATTGTACTCCAACAATATCACAAAACTTTTAAAAGCTGTTAGTCCTGACCCGGAAAACTTCTACTTGGATTTGAAAGATGAGTATAATTATGGCACAATGGACCATGTGGTTCGAGGAACTGTGGTGATGAAGGTGAGAACTGAATGCAAACAGAAACCTTCCAACCATTATTGTACATTTTACAACAACAAAAGACTGTCAGCCTTGTCCAGTCTTTTCTGATGTCTCAAATTGAAACAGATGGGTTTTAAATAAATGTCAAGGATATTAAACACGAGACAAAATTATACCAGGGAATTTATTATTGCCTCTGTGCTTTCTTTCATCTGTGTAGACACAATATTATCTAAGGGTCATTATGTTGACGACATTAATGCTCCCCATTAATTCTGTCTTTCTAAACTCTACCCACTGAGAAGAAAAGTGCTGTTTTTTGCCACAGTTTTTAATGATTAGTCCCTATCATGAAGGAGCTAAAGGATAAAATTCATTTGCAATAGAAATGAAAATCAGGATAATTTCTATTGGGGGATCCAATTCAGATTAAGCCCCTTCCAAAACTTTATTTTATCCACAGTGTTTCAACAAATCCCCAGTATACCAATTTTACTCTTTTCATAGGAGTCATACAGCACAGAAACAGACTGTTCAGTCCAACCTGTCCATGCTGAATATAATCCCAAACTAAACTAGACCTACCTGCCTGCTCCTGACCCAAATCCTTCCAAACCTTTCCTAATCATGTACTTATCTGAATGTTTTTTAAATGTCATAATTGTACCCACATCCTCTACTTACTCAGGAAATTCATTCCACCCTCTATGTAAAAAAGACTTGCCTCTCATGTCTTTTTTAAATCTCTCTCCTCTCACCTTAAAATATGTGTCCCCCTAGTCTTGAAATCCCCCATCCTAGGGAGAAGACATCAACCATTAAACCTATCTATATCTCTCATTATTTTATAAACTTCTATCAAGTCGTCTCTCAACCTCCTACGCTCCAGTGAAAAAAAATCCCAGCCTATCCAGCCTTTCCTTATAACTGAATCCTTCCATACCCGGCAACATCCAGGTAAATCTCTCCTGAATCCTGTGCAGCTTTGATAACATGCTTCCTATAACTGGGCAACTAGAACTGGACACAACATTCCTGAAGAGGTCTCACCAATATCCTGTACAACCTCAACATGACTTCCCAACTCCAGCACTCGAAGGACTGAGCAATGAAGGCCAGCATACCAAATTACTTTTTAACCACCCTCTCTATATATAATGCAGACTTCAAAGAATTATGTATCGGGCATGCCTAGGTCCCTCTGTTCTACAGCACTACCCAACAATATCACAAAACTTTTAAAAGTTGTTAGTCCCAACGTGGAAAACTTCCACTTGGATTTGCAAGATGAGTATAATTATGGCAAAATGGACCATGTGGTGATGAAGGTGAGAACTGAATGCAAACACAAACCTTCCAACCATTACTGCACCATTAATTGTATAAGCCCTACCTTGTTTGTGATATCAAAATGCAATTCCTGCTAGGAATGCAATTTCTCCTTCCCTCTCCTCTCGACATGAGTAGAAATCATTTGTTTTGCAGAGTTGAAAGCTGCAAACCATCTCGCTGGACTTTTCCTTAATGGCTATCTCCGTGTACTTTATTCTAACGGCCATTGCTTCTGCCTCAGCTTTGCAATGAGTACCAGCCTGCGTCAACGTTAATCTGGATCCATACCTGATATTCAGAAATGCACACTTCCTGTCGGGTAACATTCAGAAAGAGAATTGTAAAACCTACACTGTCGCTCAGACAACAGCCAGGATTGAGTGTCAATGTGTCTTGCATTGCATGGCTCACCAATACTTTGGATGAATGAGCTATGCAGCACATAGTTTAGGTTTACAGCCCACAATATGTGCGCTGTTTTAATCCTTCCAGTCCTCTTTCATTAACAGGATGGGAAACTGATCTTTCCAGCACCTCCACCACAGCATATTCCGGGAAGTACTCCGGTACAATCTAAGAAGGAGCCGGAGCTAGAGATTGAGAGAAAGGAAACAGTTTCTCCATTTATTAAAACCATGAACACATCTGCCATTTGCACAGGAGGTAAGTGTAAATCAATACAGTATATGTCACCCTTTGTAACTCTTGCATAGTCTTCAGTCAAACTGAGAATTAATCACCTCTTTACACCCAGCAGTGACCATCTCCATTCAACTGTTACTTAAGTGTTTCTTAAATAATATGTGTTGATTTTAATCTATGTGATTTATCTGTATTTCATGTAGAATTATGAATGGTATTGATTTATAATGAACACCTATTTTATTTCCTAAATTTACTGTCATATCTCATTGGGCTAACATGCTGGAAATCAAGCTCTATTAATCCTGGATTCATTACAAAAGTTAACAGTTTTATTAAAGTAAACAAAGACCCCATTTTACCTGTCTAATGGACTCAGATTAACAAAAAGCATGGACCACGTTTCTGTACTTCACAAGAACTACAATTTATTACAAATAAATAGATTCTAACCATAGGTAAACAGCTTTCAACTGATGACGTATAATATTAATATTTTAAACTCTTAACCTAAGAAGTGTGAAAATCTCTTCACACACATACAGGCAGGTATAGTTGGGCAAAACAAAAATTGATCTTATGGATGGAAATAAAAAAAACCAGGGAAGCAACTCAAAAATTCCTGTCCTCAGGATTTGAACAAGGCGTTCTTTCAGTTTTCCAAATCCTTCAGTTCTTTCATTTCTCCACAGGAGGCACAGAGCAATGGTTATATAAATTATAAAGTCTCTGACTTATTCATTTAAAGCAGTTGTGTGGAGCAACTGGTAGGAAAGAAAAACACCTAGTTTTCTTCAGGCTTCAGATACTTTACTGGAGAGAGACCCACACACCATCTACCCTTTCAGTATTCTAAAGGCTTCTGCCAGTATCATTCACATTCACAAGCTGTTCAGCTACTCAGAAGCTAATCAGATAATTGTTGTCAAGATGATGGCCTTTGGCATGCACAAACCATTCAACAGCCTGTTGCTGGCTAAATCTGACTTTGTACATACATCACTGTAGCCAGGCTGTCTTCAAATATCTAGCCCCATTGCTCGATCAAAGCAACAGTACGAACACAATTCACAATGCATTTCAGCAACTTCCTTTTTAAAAGTACAGCAATTCTTTCCTTATTCCTTGGTTGTAGAATAGTCCTTTTCTCAATTCTGACCATAATCAAAAATAAGGTAACATAAAAAGATGTGGTTATTACATTACGAACAGCTGAGTATATCTCACTACATATATGGTTTCAAGAAAAAGTTTGTGGAACAAATAGGATGTGTGTTGCCACGTTTGATTTCTGTTGTCATGTGGGTCAATGGCAAAGCTTGAATCAACCATTGTTGGAATAAGTGAGAAACTTGTCAACATCAGTATAAAATATCCCACTAAAATCTCCTGCCACCATCTTTCTGTAAATTTTAAAGCAATACACACTCAAAAATCAGCATTATTTTGTGTTCCCTGTATCAATGTCTTTAGTGGTAAAACACTTTGGGATCATAAGGGAAATAAACAGACAGAGGAGCATGATGTGTGATGAAACCATATCTGTTGTTCATGATGCAAACTTCATGCAGTCAGTGAATTTAATAGTGTGCACTATAGCATTAAATGTGTGGCTGAGTATCTGCACACCTTAGCATAGGGACTATGTTAACCTAACAGAAACACAACATCAAATTATTTTCAAGTCTTAAAGCCAGCCTGCACCTTTTAAAGGTGGAATTGCATTGGAAGTTCAGTGAATATGGTGCAACAAGGCAGCAAGGAGGTCCAGGGTCCTCTGATGTATCTCTGGTGCCCTTATTATAGGAGATGGAGAGGAGGAGAGAAGTCTGCTACCCATAGGGAACTAAGAGGCTTTCTAGACATATCCTGAGTAGCCAATGGATGTGGGTCACTATTACAATCCATACCAACAATCTACCCTACTGTACCCAGATGCAGTACATCCTGGGAATTATCATTATGACTGGATTAGTGATACATGTAATGACTACAAAAGCAGGTCAGAGGCTGAGAATTCTACAGTGAGTAACTCATCTCTTGTCATTCCAGAGGCAGTCCACCATCTTTTATTTTCCTTTATTCATTAATGGTTTGAGGGCATCACTGCTATGCAGCATTTATTGCCCAGAGGGCAGTTAAGAGTCAACCACATTGCTGTGGGTCTGGAGTCACATGTAGGCCAGACCAGGTAAGGATGGCAGTTTCCTTCCCTAAAGGACATTCATGAACCAGATGGGTTTTTCCCAACAATCGACAATGGATTCATAGTCATCATTAGATTCTTACTTGCAGTTTTTATTGAATTCACATTCCACCATCTGCCGTGGCAGGATTTGAACCTGGGTCCCCAGAATATTATATGGGTCTCCGGATTAGCAGTCCATCAATAATACCCCTAGGCCATCGCCTCCCCTACATGAATGTGATGGAATTGCCTCTATTTAGCTAGATAGGTGTAGCTCCAACAATACTCAAGATGTTTAACACCATTCAGAACAAAGCACCCAATTCAGTTGACACCCCATCAGTCACCTTAAATTCCTTCCATCACTGACAAACAGTGTGTATTACCTACAAGATGCATCTCAGAAACTCACCAAGGCTCTTCTGACAGCACCTTCTAAATTCATGACCTCTTCCATCTAGACGGGCAACAGATGACCAGAGCACCAGTACCTGTAGGTGCCCTCCATGTCACACCCTGCGTTGTCTTGGATCATTGTCATTGCTGTAACTGGGTCAAATTCCTGCCAGTCCCTTCCTAACAGCACTCTGTTTGTACTTACGCCATAAGGACTGCAGTGGTTCAAGAAGATGTTTCAACACTGACTTCTCAAAGCTAAAGAACAAAGCTAAAGCAAGTGACAGCCACATCATTTGAGTGAATTAAAAAAAGTTCAGTGATCTCACATGAGCAGTCAAGACCAGTGAGATGTACCAGTGAGATGTAGGTGCTATCTCTTTACTCTGGAACCATTGACCTCTGACTGTTCTAGCCATTCGCTAATTTAGCAACACCTAGGATCAACCATGACCCTCTTTCATCGTGTCATTACTGGACAACCTGATTTGATAGATGATATTGTGATTTGCTTTCATTTTAAAAAAGTGGTATTTTGCTGAAAGATAAGCACACAATTTTACAGATTTTGTTTTAACAATAAAACGGAAGTTATTAGCAAAAGAAATGAAGATAAAATAGAATGATTTCAATTCATAGATATAATTCAAAATATAATCCCACTAATCCCCAAAACAGTCCCTCTTTAAATTGAAAAAATATAGCACTCAAAACACACCCATAGTACATTACCCTAAATAGTACTCATACAATGCTTACTCTAGAGTTCTCTTATCTAATACCTTGGTATGTTTACATCATTTGTGATTTCAATTTATGGACTGGAACTGTAGATAGCTTCTTTCTGGAGCTATTATACATCTGAACTTAATTGTATTCAGCTTTAAGTAACCTCTTCAGGGTTTTAACCCAACACTTCTAACATTAAGTCCTCTCTCTAAGCTAATCTAGTTCACTATATCCTTTCCTTCTAAGGACAACTGGTTTACACAGCTATTCTCATCCATCATTTCTCTCTTTTGGTCGCAAAACAATCTAGGATTAAAAAAAGTTACTAGTGGTGCCCAAAAACCTATTCACTCCAAAGCCAGGTCACAAGAACTGTTTTAAAAGAAATAGAATGGCTACAGAAATACAAAATAGTTATTAACTTCAGGCACACAAAAACCCACAAGGTACCAACTCAAAAATCAACAGCACGTGTGTATGATAAATTATAATAAAAATATGACTAAATCATTGTATTCATCACAATAGCTTCCTCTATATCTTACTCTCATGCAGTGAGCACTGCCCTTAGTCTGGCACCCACATGTCACAGTTGGCTATGAGGAAAGGTTAAAAAGATTGGCTATGAGGAAAGGTTAAAAAGACTAGAATTGATTTCACTGGAAAGACGGCGGCTGAGAGGAGACCTGATAGAGGTCTACAAAATTATTAGAGACATCGATAGGGTGGATAGTCAGAGGTTTTTTCCCACGGTTGAAGTTTCAGTTACAAAGGGGCACAGGTTCAAAGTGAGAGGGCAAAATTTTAAGAGGAAAGTTTTTCACGCACAGAGTGGTAGGAGCCTGGAATGCACTGCCAGAGGAGGTGGTGGAAGCAGGCACATTGGCGACATTTAAGAGGCATCTGGATGGTCACATGAAAAGGCAGGGAATAGAGGGATACGGACTGAATAAGGGCAGAAGGTTTGTTTTTTAGCTTAGTGAGGGCACGATGATCTGCACAGGATTGGTGGGCCGAAGGGCCTGTCCCTGTGCTGTACTTCTCTTTTGTTCTTTTGTACACATGCTGCCAGCTATTCAACCATGAATGTACGAATTGATAGATACATGAACAGGAGGCAAACTGAGGCTTAGAAACTACATATGGGCAATAGATAGCAAGTCTAAATAAGGAACAGGAATTGATGCAGGCTCGGTAGGCTGAAGGGCCTGTTGTGTATTGTTCTTTGTTCTTTATGACAGGCACATCACTTAAACAATTTGCACAACACTCACTGACATGGTTTCCTTCTTTTACAAGACAATGTGCATATAACCTCAGGCAGCAGAACCTAAATAGCAGGGTAAAGTGTATCTGCATGCCCTTGGTTTTCACAGAGACATTGATGCTGGTGGTGAGTACAGTGACCATTGCTAGGGCTGTGTCCAGTGATGGAGATTGTATGTGAATGCATGTTCCTACTGACTCCATCTTCTCCCATCTTATGTTCCCCTCATGGAATAATCAGTCCTGATTCACAAGCTGTAGATGGTGTTAGTACTTTCTTCATCCCAACCCTACCCCAGGGCCTTTGTCCTTTCAGATTGCCAAGAATTACAACTCCACCAGTTTTGAACATGAGGTGGCTCTGTGGAACTGGAGAATTGAAAATGTTACACCCTTGTTGAAAAAAATGTTACCGAGGTCAGTTTTTATAACCTTGGTGGTACAAAAGTCTTCAGAAGTGACAAAGTTAACTGCCACCTAGACAAGTGCCCGATAATTAGGGAAAACCAGCATGGATGTTTAAAGTTAAAGTAGTTAACTAGAGTCAGTTTCTTAATGAAGTAACAGATAGTTAATGAGGATTTTACTAGTTGTGTATGTAGTGACTTCAAAACACATTTTTAAAAAATCCATAAAATAGTCTTACCTGTAAAGTTGAAGGCCACAGAGTAAAAGGGAAAATGATAACATGGAACGTATTAACTGAATGACAAGAACCAGAGTTGTAGTGAGTGGTTGGTTTTTAGACTGGAGGAAGGTTTACGCTGCAGTTCTCCAGAGGACAGTATTAAAACTACTGCTTTTCTTGAACTGTTCTCATAATCTGGGTGTACAGATCAAAATTTCAAAGTCTGCAGAAACTAATTGACGCTAACATCCCAGAAGGAGGCCATTTGGCCCATTGTATTCATGCTGATCAGCAAAGATGTGACTACACTAATCTCATTTTCCAGCCCTTGATCCTTAGCCCTAGAAATTATTGCAATGCAAATGCAATATCTAAATTCTCTTTCAGACAGTAAGTTTGTAAGACAATAGGTCTTACAGCTCTCCACCTATCTTCTCCTCTATCCACCTTCTATCCGCCTCCCCTTCTCTCCCTATTTATTTCAGAACCTGCTTTCTCTTCCCCATTTCTGAAGAAGGGTCTAGGCCCGAAACGTCAGCCTTCCTGCTCCTCGGATGCTGCTTGGCCTGCTGTGTTCATCCAGCTCTACACCTTGTTATCTCAGATTCTCCAGCATCTGCAGTTCCTACTATTTCATGACTGTAGAGGATGCAGGGAGAGAGTGTAAAAAAAAGTTGGAGAACAGGCATAACGTGGTCAGTTTCTGAATTTAATTTCGAGACCTCAAGGTTGTAAAGTGTCTCAGTAGAAAATGAGATAACACAGTGTGGAGTTGGAGGAACACAGCAGGCCAGGCAACATCTGAGGAGCAGGAAAGTTGACGTTTTGGGTTGGGACCTTTTTCTTCAGAAACCCCTACCTGAAGTATCAGCTTTCCTGCTCCTCTGATGCTGCCTGACCTGCTGTGTTCCTCCAGCTCCACACTGTGTTATCTCTGACTCTAGCATCTGTAGTTCTTACTATCTCTCAGCAGAAAATGAGCTTCTGTTGTGATTCGATGCAACTTTGCAGCAGGCCCGGAAATGTTAGCTTGAGAGCAAGGTTTACTAAAATGACAAGCAACTAAGATGTCAGTTTCTCTGAGCTGATAGCTCTTCTGACCTGCCTCAAATTCATTTCTATCCTTCCATAAATAAGGATTCCAAAACTACACATAACATTTGAGATGTGGTCTCACCAAAGCCCTGTATAACTGAAGTTTTTAAAATTTTTATTTTACAGTTCAAACATCAGCAATATTTTTCCTCTATCTCCTCTTTTGAGTTCAATTCCTTTTCCTTTTATGATAAAGGATAGCATCACATTAACCATCTTGATTACATGCTACATACGATCTTTTTGCAACTCATCCATCAGAACACTTAAATCCCTCTGCACCTTGGATTCTGCAGTCATTCTCTGTTTAAGGAATACTCTGCTTGTTTTTATTCTTCCTGCCTAAGTAAACAACTTCACATTTTCCCACATTCTTCTCCATCTGCCAGATTTTTGCCCACTCACTCAACCTATATGTATTTTTCTGCAACTTCCTTATGTTTCTTAATGGCATACTTTCCTACTTTTCTTGACTTTGTCTATATATTTACGTGCTATGCCTTTGCTCCCCTTATCTACGTCATTGAAATAAGTTGTAAAAAGCTGAGGCCACAGCACAGCTCTCTATGGGACTCTATTCATCACGTCCTGCCAATCTGGCAACGATGCATTTATACATAATTCTGTTTTCTGCCAGCCAGCCAATCTTCAATTCCTGTTCACTGTTTGACTTTTTTCTTCACAGATGCTGCCAGACCAGCTGAGCTTTTCCAGCAACTTTGTTTTTGTTCCTGATTTACAGCATCTGCAGTTCTTTTGGTTCTTTTTCAATTCCTGTTAATGTGTTACCCCCACATCATAAGCTTTTATTTTCCACAATACCTTTGATGTGGCACCTTATTAAATGTCTTCTATAAATTCAAGTAAGGTTTCTCTACAGGATTCCTTTATCCATTGTACGTGTTACTCCTTCAAAGAGTTCCAATAAATTGGTTAAACATGATTTTTTGTGATACATACGTTAACAGATTTACTAAATTCAAAAATGCCTTGGGATTGGTGACAAGAGCTTTAAAGAATGGGCTGGAATTATGACCGATATATTTTGAACAAAAATCCCATGATTTAGTACTACTCAGCTTTTGTTCCACCCCAACCCTTTTTCCCATCTTCGTTTTTGTTACTGATTTAATACATTTAATGTTCACATTCACTCATAGGTCTGACTAGTTTGATGGCTCTCGGAATCTCTGCCCCGACTGTTGCATTCCCACAGATGGTGACTATTTTTGGACTGGCTGGAATTGTTGGATACCATACTGTTTGGCGAGTCACACCAGCCCTTCACTCCCCTCTTATGTCTGTTACTAATGCCATCTCAGGTAAGGTCTCCTGCAGTTTTTTGAATCAATTCAGTTATGTCATTTCCTAAACACTGAGGAGAGTTTCTGTAAATTGTTTTGTCAAGTTTGGTGGCTACAGGTCAAATCAATGTGTGTTTAAAATGAGGGATGGGGCGTATTTTGTCCATATGTTGATATTAAAGCAAACCCCTGTGAGCATTTTGACCCATATGACATTGTTTAACTAGCTGGCTTGAGATGAAAGCCTATTTTTGCGGAATCAGTACAGTTCTGGTAGTGAGTGATGCTTTACATTCCCGACCTGGGTAGTTCCGTTGTGAAGATTAGACACCTAATCGATTGATTATTGTTGTCACGTGTACCGAGATACAGTGAAAAGTGTTGTTTTGCGTGCTGTACAGACAGATCAAAACATACAAAGTGCATCACGGTAGCAGAACAGAGTGCAAAATACAGTGTTATTGCTGCAGGGAGGGTGCAGAGAGAGAGAGATCAGAATTAACATTTGAGAGGTCCATTCAAAAGCCTGATAACAATGGGGAAGAAGCTGTTCTTGAAGCTATTTGTAAGAGTATTCAAACTTTTATATCTTCTGTCTGATGAAAGAGGGTAGAAGAGAATATAACTGGGATGGGAATGGTCTTTGATTATGTTGGCTGCCTTCTCAAGGCAGCGGAAAGTGTAAATAGAGTCAATGGATGGAAGGCTGGTATGACTGATGGACCGCGCTGTGTTCACAACTCTCTGTAGTTTCTTGTGGTTTTGGGGAGATCAGTTGCCAGAGCACGCTGTGATGCATCCAGATAGGATGCTTTCTGTGGAGCCTCTATAAGAACTGGTAGGAGTCCTTGTGAACATGCTGAATATCTTTAGCCTCCCGAGGAAGCAGAGGTTGTTGTGCTTTCATGACTGTTGCTTTCCTGTCCTAGGAACTTGGCTCAACCATCTTGACCTCAGCACCATTGATGTAGAAGGGGGCGTGCCCTCCACTCCACTTCCTGAAGTCAATGACCAGTTCCTTCATTTTGCTGACATTGAGGGAGAGATTGTTGTCTTTACACCATGTCACTAAGCTCTCAAACTCTTTCCTGTGTTCTGTCTTGTCATTGTTTGTGATCTAACCCACTACAGTGCTGTCGTCAGCAAATTTGTGTACGAATTTGGCCACACAGTTGTGATTGCATCTCCTAGCTTTATGCAATTTTGTAGAGTTGGGCCAGCTTCTGAATGAATCATCGTTCATGGCCCCATTTTGAGGTTGTGAATCATGGTGTGAATTCAGGAAACTTTTGAAAAGTATGTTCATAGCATCTTCCGTATGCCCTTCCATAGCATAAGATAAGGATGCATGGCGTTAAGGGTAAAGTATTAGCATGGATAGAGGATTGGTTGACTAACAGGAAGCAAAGAGTGGGGATAAATGAGTGCTATTCTAGCTGGCTGTCAGTGACTAGTGGTGTGCCTCAGGGATCGGTGTTGGGACCGCAATTATTTACAATTTATATAGATGATTTGGAGTTGGGGACCAGGTGTAGGGTGTCAAAGTTTGCAGTTTGTAAGATGAGTGGCAGAACAAAGTGTGCAGAGGACTGTGAAACTTTGCAGAGGAACATAGATACATTGACTGAGTGGGCAAAGGTCTGGCAGATGGAATACAATGTAACTAAATGTGAAGGCATACATTTTGGTGGGAGTAATAGTAAAAAGGATTATTACTTGAATGGTAAAAAGTTGCAGCATGCTGCTATGCAGAGGGACCTGGGTGTCCTTGTGCATGAATCACAGAAGGTAGGTCTGCAGGTACAACAAGTAATTAGGAAGGCAAATGGAATTTTGTCCTTCATTGCTAAAGGGATTGAGATTAAAAGCAGAGAGGTTATGTTGCAGCTGTACAAGGTGCTGGTGAGGCCACACCTGGAGTACTGTGTGCAGTTTTGGTCTCCTTACTTGAGAAAGGATGTACTGACACTGGAGAGGGTGCAAAGGAGGTTCACTAGGTTGATTCCGGAGTTGAGGGGGTTGGCTTATGAGGAGAGACTGAGTAGATTGGGATTACATTCATTGGAATTCAGAAGAATGAGGGGGGATCTTATAGAAACATATAAAATTATGAAGGGAATAGATAAGATAGAAGTAGAGAGGATGTTTCCACTGGCAGGTGAAACTAGGACAAGAGGGCATAGCCTCAAGATTAGAGGGAGCAGATTTAGGACTGAATTGAGAAGGAACTTCTTCACCCAGAGGGTTGTTAATCTATGGAATTTCTTACCCAGTGGAGTAGTTGACACTACTTCAGTAAACGTTTTTAAAGATAAGGTAGATATTTTTTTGAACAATAAAGGAATTAAGGGATACGGTGAGAACGCGGGTAAGTGGATCTGAGTCTACGAAAAGACCAGCCATGATCTTATTGAATGGCGGAGCAGGCTCGAAGGGCCGAACGGCCTACTCCTGCTCCTAGCTCTTATGTTCTTCTATGTTCTTATGACAACTCCTATCTTACTACCACCACCACAACCATAACCCTCCCCAGCCCCTCATACACTCTGTGTCAAATCATCATTCCTCTGCGCTCATTCACCAAGTACATGCTTGGTGCAGAACCAATTAACTATGTAATAATAATAGCATGGAGAGGACCCCCCACAAAACAAAGAATAACCATTCATAAGTTTTCTTTTGAAAGAAACTGCTGTTCCTACAAATGTTTGGAAGTGGTTGTCAGATGGACCATTAGATTGATGATAACAGAGGCTTCAAATATTTCACACATGTTAATCTCGTGCAAATAAAGACCACAGAAGAAAAAGCAATTTATTGTAACCATTTAATGATGTCAGTCAAGCAAAGGCAGTAGTTTTTTTTCCAGCTGTCAGAACAAACCTCATTGAGAAAGTCCTTTTGAGAGTCTGGTCTGTCAGTCAGGCATGCACAGGATCATTATAAAAGCCTCTTCTTGATACTTTATGGTCTTTAATGAGGGATCATTGAGTTGGAATGGGATCCATGAGTTGACATTAGGACTGTAAGGGGCCATGACATTGGATGGAAGTCCTGAGCTCGTACAATTCTGGCATGGGCAGAAGTTTGGGATGACGGCTACAGTATCTAACAGCCAAAATTCAATTGTGGTACGTGGGGAGATCCTTCCATTCTTTCGACTAAATTTAAATGTGAGTGAGATCAGCAGAGAAACCTGCACAATGTTAGGATCTGAAAACCTGCCAGACCTTGCACCAATCAAGCAACAACTCAATGTCTGGTAGGCTTTGTACCTGCGTGGAGTCCCAATTGAAGGAGTCCTGCCCCCCCCTCCCAATCTGAGGCTGGTACCTCTAGTACTCAATAGCACCATGGAGGAATCCTCCTTGGCTATTGCAGGTGTAACAAGTCTCTAACTCCCACATTGGAGGAGCAACCGTGGAATAGGGGAGCTATGTCGGGGGTTCGTGGTCTTGTGGGGTGGTGATTATGAATGGAGGGAGACCAGGATGTCCAGAAGCAAGGTGTCTTGAGCAGTCCCTGGGTGAGGCCCCCAAATTTGTTATGGTTCCAGACAGGATATCCTAAGGCATTAAGCTTCTCAGTGGGGAGGGGTGAACTGGCTCCCCATAGTTATTCACATATCCCCCTTGGTTTGTCACAACAAGGTTTATTTTAAAAGGATCCCTTCCCTTGTGGATATCCTTCTCTTTGTCCCAAATGAGCTTACATTTTAAAAGAAGTCAACTTGACTGTGTTTTCTTGAATTAGCAAAAATAATGCGTTTACTAATTTACTAAACATGAGAGGATGTAGCAGTGCAATACATTAACAGACAGGTTAGAAATCGGAGGTGAGTCCAAAGAGGTAAAAGACAAAAAAAATACAGATCAGTTTCTAAATTGTTGATGAAGAGCAGACAGGTGAATGTTGCAATGGTAGCAGTGGATGTTACCAGCATCAATGACATTAGTTATTGACCAGTCAATTGCATGACTCTTTGTGAGTTGATAAAAACTGTTCTGTGTTAATTTCTTCTGGCAGTGGGCTGGCTGGCAGCCCACACAAAAAAAGAATCCACTTTCTCCTTTTACCCGAAGTGCAGTTGTTTTAAATAGAGTTGTGACCCTCACGACTCACGAGTACACACTTGGATGTTGGGTCACTGACACACACACTGGGTTTGGGCAATATATGCTGGCCAGTCAGTGATGCATATGTCCCGCAAGAGAATAAACTTAAACATTTTCAAACTGAAGGTGTAGTTGTATCAATAAAAGAGTAGATGTCGGAATAGGAACAACGTTGCATAGGCAGGAAATTTACAAAAAGATATATTCTAGGGAAAGTGATGGATCAACATTTAAATATGTCAATAGATTGCCCTTCCTTTGATCCTTAGATTTGATGAAGGAGATGCTTTCTCTCCTTATATTTTGGGTAGCATAAACAGAGAGTCTGAAGTGATGTTGTAAATTGGATGATTGAAGACAAGAGTAACCTATAATTAAAGTACTGGACTAAGCATGACATGCCTTTTTAGGAGAAAGACTGACTTGCCTCTGACATTATGCTGCCTCCAACAAGTTCAACCTTGGTTTTATAGGAACTTTGAGCTAGCAGTGATATCAAAACACCCACCCAGTGATGGACAGGCAGATTGTAACAATGATGCCGTCGATGGGAAGCTGTGACTTGCACAATAACTTTTTGTGTTTCTGGCGTTTTGAGTCACTTGCATGAGCAAAGCCCTTTGAGGAAGGATAATCAATGATCACAGGAACCCTGCTGCAAGCCTGAACCTAGCGTTATGTTAGAAATGCAGAGATGGGTAACTGGTCTTCTGACATTAATAGTGGGACCAGGGATTAAAATCAGGCCCCGGGTCTAGGCCCGAAACGTCAGCCTTTCTGCTCCTATGATGCTGCTTGGCCTGCTGTGTTCATCCAGCTCTGCACCTTGTTGTCTCGGATTCTCCAGCATCTGCAGTTCCTACTATCCATGAATGCTGTTGTTGGGTTTCATAGGATAAAGCTTTCCAAATGTTGACAGATAAAGGAAAGGAATTCTTACCTTAATTTTAAAAGTGATGTGCCAGCGAAGCAAGGACGATGTGACAAAAAACTTTTTCACACAGCAAGTGGTTAGGGTATAGCATACACTGCCTGGAAATGTGGTGGAGGCAGGTTCAACTGAGGCATTCCACAAGACATTGAATGGTTACTTGGAGAGAAGTGGAGAAAAGGCAGGAGATGAGCACTAGGTAAGAGAACAAGTGCAGGCACAATGTGCTGAAATACCTCCTGCTGTGCCATAACAATTCTGTGATTTTGTGATGTTTGCTTTGAGTAAAATGATGATAACGTTAAACTTGCATCTGTTAATCCTCAATATTTATTACAGGTTTGACTGCAGTTGGCGGGTTATCACTGATGGGAGGCGATTACACACCAGGGAATATTCCAGAATTTCTTGCTTTAGTGGCAGCTTTTATTTCCTCAGTTAATATTGCTGGTAAGATTCATCTCAGGAGTACCATGTATCTAATTCAAACAAAATAAAATTCCCAGGCAATGATTCCCAAAGTAATGTTGGATAAACATTTTCTAACTATCATAAGACATGGAAAGACAAATATTGTCCTGTTCACAAGTAGTTGATAAGAGGAAGCTATCCTGCTCATTTCTCCTTAAACAAAGATGCCACGACCACATCCCAGATGCATTATGTTACCTGGCTGATGGCCAGTTTAGCATCTGCCACCTCATTATACAGTTTGATCCCAAGTTAGTATCAAACCCAGTATCATTTCCACTGTTAACACTGCCTACATCCATCCGTCACTTTTTGGAACACTCATCCTGCCTTTGTGACCCTTAAGCTGGAATTGTCCAACTATTTCCTTGTCATTTTTCCAGGCTTCACTTTACATTAACTTTAACTTATCCACAACTATTCTACCATCCAAGAGCTTTGCCGGTTATAAACTTCTGAAAACTCCTCATGTCTCATTGTATGCTTCTCCTTTCATTGACTCCAACTTCCCCTCCACACTGCAGTCATACCTTGTTTTTCATGCCAGGCTGTGCTTTCCACACTTTATCACCTCTTGTTTGCATTCTCAACTTTCAGGGTCAGAGACTTTAGCCAACTCAGCCATACAGTATGTTTAGCAACAATTCAGAATTGGAAAAAGATGCCCTGGAGATCAACTGGCACGGAAATTAAACTTTGGCAATGAAGAAGAGGTGGAACAGAGATTTGGTGACAGGATTAGCACCTAAACTGAATTAATATAATCATGAACTGAAATGCAATGATATGCACCATGTTGAGTTTGTACCCCTCCTCCATGCCTGTACTTACTCATGTTGTCATTCTCCCATGGGTCACTGAAGGGTGAGGGAGGAACAAGGTGAGCCTTTGGAGGAAAGTGAACATTCTGAAGATGCACTATCGTATCACTTATGTGCAGCCTCCAGCAGTGAACCTACACACACCTCAGCGGCTACTGGAGTGTGCACAGCTAACCTATTACGTGGTGAAACAAGCGAGCGGGTGCTGGCACAGCAGTGTAAAATTGTCACGAGAAGGTGAAGGATACTCAGAGATCAATAGTCAGATGTTCAGAGGTGACCCTTGTTCCAAACCCCGCTACAGAACGCGCCCCCCCTCACCTCAGGATTCAGTCAGTGATCCTGTCTAGGTGGAGGGAAAGCCTGCAGAAGATGTGACTGCTACAAAATAAATGAACCCTGGCTGTTCGCCACTCAATTTCCAGTTCACACAGTCTTTGGAACACTGCATTAAAAGCTGGCAGAAACCAAGTCCTTGAATGTTTTTAAGGCAGAAGATAGATTCTTATTAAGTGAGGGATTGACAAGGGTAGGCAGGAATGTGGACTTGAGGTTAGAATCAGAACAACCATGAACTTGAATGGCAGAACAGACCCAATGGGCCCAATGGCTTACTTGTCCTCTTATGCTTTATGGTCTTCCATTCATACAAACCAATGAATCAAGAGCAGGAGTTGTCAGTTCAGCCCTCAAGCCCAATCTGCTGTTCAATGAGATCACCACTGATCTACAAAAGATGTTGTTGAACTTGAAAGGGTTCACAAAAGGTTTACAAGAACGTTGCCAGGATTGCAGGGTTTGAGCTATGGGGCGAGGCTGAATAGACTGGGGCTTTTTTCCTCGGAGCCTGAGAGGCTGAGGGGTGACGTTACAGAGGTTTATAAAATCATGAGGGGTATGGATAGAGTGAATAGCCAAAGTCTTTCTCCCGGGGTAGGGGAGTCCAAAACTAGAGGGCATAGGTTTAGGGTGAGAGGGGAAAGATATAAAAGGGACTTAAGGGGCAACTTTTTCATGCAGATGGTGGTGCATGTATAGAATGAGCTGCCAGAGGAAGTGGTGGAGGTGAGTACAATTACAATATTTAAAGCATCTGGATAGGTACCTGAAAAGGAAGGGTTGCGAGGGATTTGGGCCAAATGCTGGCAAATGGGACTTAGATCAGTTTAGGATATCTGGTTCGTGAGGATAAATTGGACAAAGGGGTCTGTTTCTGTGCTGTATGACTATGATCAACCTGAACTCCATTTTCCTACCTTTTCCCAATGAACCTTGATTCACTTACTGATTAAATATCTGCACTCACAATCCTGAACATATTTAATGACCAGACTCAGCAGCCCTCTGCAGCAAAGAATTCCATAGATTTGTCACCCTCTGAGAGAAGAGTTTCACCTCTCTGTGTTGACTCAGTAATCTCCTATATAATGTGCTTTTTTAAATTCTTTCTGTCAAAGTGGACATTTTCCTGTAGAATACAGTATTTGCCAGAACTTTTTCAACTCAGTTAACCTATCAATATCATTTTATAGCCTCCTTATTTCTTCTTCATAACTTGCTGTCATATCTGTTGTACCTATCTGCAAATACCTTTGATCTCTTCATTTAAATCATTGTATAAATTGTAAACAGTTGAGGTCCCAACACAAGTTCTTTAGAACACTACTCATTACAGTTTGCCAACTTGAAAAGACCCATTTATACTTCTGGTTAGATAACCAATCTTCTCTCTATGCCAAAATACTACCCTGTCCACCATGAGCTTTTATTTTCCATAATAACCTTTGATGTGGCACAGTAGCAAATGCGTCCTGGAAAAGTAAAAGTAGCATATCCACCAGTTCTGTATTTAAATCATGTGGTATCATCTCAAAGAACTCTTTAATAGATTGTTCAAACAAGATTTCCCTTTCACAAAACCACGTTGACTCTGCCTGATCACTTTGAATTTATTCAAGCGCCCTGTTACAACGTCTTTAATAGTAACACTTCTAACACTTCCCCTATGACAGATTTTAAGCTAACTGACCTGTAGTTTCCTGCTTTTACACTTTATTATAAGAAGTGTATGGAAAGCATAGCTTTATTATTTTGTTATTAATAATATTATTAATTATTTTATGAATAAAGCAAAAGTTCCTTTTTTTTTAACAGACTCCTTGTTTTGCCAACTTCAAAGACTTATGCGCGTACATGGCCTGGCCTCTCATTTTTTGTAGTCCCTTGAAATTGTATCATTCAATTTGTATTGCCTTTGCTAATTCTTCTCTGCATTAAATTGCATCTGTCATGTGTCTGTTCATTATATCAGCCTGTCATTTACAAAAGTGAACGCAGCAAATAATAATGAAAAGATTTGACACAAAGGCTGTGACAATGGTAGATCAAGTGGTGAGAATGAGAAGAATGTGCAGATATAAAACTTCTGCGACAGTAATTTAACAAATGTTTTAAACTTGGTATCTGGGGTTATACGTTGAAATTCATGACTTTTATTGCCTGCTAGTTCTGTAGCTGATTTCATAATAGACTTATGCAATTTTATTGGTGTCAGGCTATGTTTATTACATTAGACACAATTTAATTTCCGTTCTTTGATATTTTTCTGCTGTTGTTCACTTTAGGTGGTTTCTTAGTTACTAAGAAGATGCTGGATATGTTTAAACGACCCACTGATCCCCCAGAATATAATTACCTGTATCTGCTCCCTGGTATGGCTTTTGTTGGAGGTTATGCAGTTGCTCTGACCAATAATTATCCTATTGAACAGGTGAGACTTATGTGAACTGCATGTGTAAATCTGCTACTCAAAACAAGGTTTACTTCACTTGTTTTTTTTGTTTGTGTGCCATTGTTTGCAAAGATTTGTCAACTATATCTTACAATGTTGAGAGTGAGTGATAATAGTATCACGTAATACTTAATATCAGCAACAAGTACTTGCAGTTAAATGAATAGGTGTAGGCCATTTAGCCTGTTTCATGATAATGACTAATCTAATTCAGCTTTGCCTCATACCCCTTAGTGGCATTTGATCAACAGAAATCTATCAATCTCAGCCTTCAAATGAATGGTCAACCCACTGTTGTCTGCTGCATGCAGAACAGCTGCCTTAATCCACTGTACCTGGACTATTTCAGATATTTAAGAGGCTGGAACACTTTCTTGCCATCTGAGCCAGTGATGCAGTTTAAAGAAAGCGATGGAGGATGAGACATTTGCAAAAATTTCAGCATTTGAAAAGAAGGGGACATAACCCGTACTCAATGGCAAGAATGGTGGAAGGATGATTCCATGTGGTGGGGGTGACATCTTTGGGAATGATGATTGATATTGTAGAACTGCAGTGTTCAAGCATTTCCTTTTCCTAGGTCATTTAGTTGCACCTCATAGAAACATGAACCACTTATAAAATTTGAATCTGCTAATTTGAATTTGTCTTAAATCCTGATATCGAGCTGGGTTTTTCTAAATTAGCGTTTATCCAGCAGCGAAGCAGCAAGCCATCAGACAGTAAGCACATCCATTTCGTCACTCATAATGTGCAACCAGGCCTCAGCTGAAAAAGACACTGCAGCACTCAGCTCCCTCCTCTGGTACATATATTCAGGGATACAGTAAAAGACATGTGAAGTTACATTCCAGGAAACATGCAGTGATATCGTGATACTAATGGTAGACTATAAATCCAGAGACCCAGGCTAATGTTCTGGGATCAAGGGTTCAAATCCCATCGTGGCAGATGGTGAAATTTGAATTCAGTAAAATTTGGAACCCATCTGGCTCACTAATGCCCTGTAGGGACAAAATCTGTTGTCCTTACCTGATTTGGCTGACCTCTGACTCCAGACCCACAAGAAAGTGGTTGACTCTTAACTGCATCAGAGATAGTAGGAACTGCAGATGCTGGAGAATCCGGGACAACAAGGTGCAGGGCTGGATGAACACAGCAGGTCTCTCTGCTCCTATGATGCTGCTTGGCCTGCTGTGTTCATCCAGCCCTGCACCTTGTTGACTCTTAACTGCCCTTTGAATTAGCTGAGCAAGCCACTCATTTCAAGGACAATGAGGGATGGGCAACAAAAACTGGTTTTGCCAGTGAGCCCCACCTCCCAGGCACCAAAAAATCACAATAGGCTAAAATCATCGTCTTTCGTATTGGAAGGAACAAAGGAGGGAGAATATACGGTTCTGGTAAATTTTGTAATTATGACAAAGAGTAAGCGGACTCAGCACAACTCAACAGTAGCTTTAGGGCTGTTACCTAAGAAATATTAAATTAAATAGTATTATTATATTCCTGTGCTGCTGGTTCTGTTGCTGGCTTATTCCTGATTGCTCTTTAAGCCATGGGTTGAATTTGCACTTGAACTTGTACTTCCATTCTCTGCGCAGTAAGTTCTTTGTGACTGCAGGAAAATGATGTAGCACTAAAGTGTACAGAAAATGACACAAGTGCATGAAAAACTGGTTGAGATTTTCCATTCCTAATTTGCTGCAGCATATGGAATAGAGGATGTGTTCTGTTCCAGGTAGGTTAATAGATAGGAACATAGGAACAGGAGTAGGCCATTCAGCCCCTGAAGCCTGTTGCACCATTCAGTGACATCATGACTAACCTGTGGCCTAACTCCATATATCCCTTTACTTAACAAAAAATGATCAATGTCAGATTTAAAATTAACAGCTGATCCAGCAACCACTGCCATTGTGGAAGAGAGTTCCAAATGTCTATCACCCTTTGTGTATAGAAGTGCTTCCTAACATCTCTCCTGAATGGTCTGGCCTGACTTCTCAGACTATGCCCCGAGTTCCAGAATCCCCAACCAATGTAAATAGTCTATCTTAGTCTACCCTGTCTTTTCCTGTTAGTATCTTGAATCTAGTTAAATGCGTTGACATTGAGAGAAATTATTTCATGACTTACAAGTGTTACCTTAATAGATTTACTTGAAAAGTCTTGAAACAGATATATTTTACGAAGTATTAGCATGATAACTCTTGAAACAATCTGACCCTATTTTATGATTAACAAGTATTTGGTGTCCTTATTATTTCTGGGACTCTGCATATACGTATTAGTTTAGTGTTGCAAATGAAAGAAAGGTGACACTTCACAAGTATCTTTTTGGCAGAGAGATGCTCTGGGCCATTCAGAGGATGTGCGAGGAATTAGATAATTGCATACCTTTTTCCACATAACTGTACAAATTAGACTGGTAATGCGTATTTTTATTGTTCATCAGATGATGTATCTTGGATCAGGCTTGTGCTGTGTCGGAGCTTTGGCTGGGCTGTCCACTCAAAATACTGCTCGTCTTGGCAATGCTTTGGGAATGATTGGTGTAGCTGGAGGAATTGCTGCTACTCTGGGAGGCCTTAAACCTTCTCCTGAACTATTGGCGCAGATGTCAGGTGCGATGGCTGTTGGTGGCACTCTTGGTGAGTACTTACTTGGCTGGGTTGGGGATTTTATTTTCCTCTTACTGCTTTAAAATTGAATAATACTATTTCGAGGAATGAGAAAGAAGGAATGAACAGGCGAGTGATACTATATTCAGGATGTTCAGTACCACAGAGAATTAGTGAGCAACGATGAACATGCTCATAGTCACTCAGTCATTGGGCTTTTGTTGTTACTGAATCGAACCAGGTACGGAAACAAAAACAGAAGTTGCTGGAAAAGCTCAGCAGATCTGGCAGCATCTGTGAAAAGAAATCAGAGTTAGCATTTCGGGTCCAGTGACCCTTTCGCAGAACTGATGGTAGCTAACCCCACAGCCCCACAACACCTTCTGTGATGGGGGCAGGAAGGGGGGCTGGTTGGGGGGTAGTAGTTCTATCTTTGACAGTAGGGAATTCTTTACAGCAAAGCCAATTCTTTGCCTAATTCATGTTTTGCCCTGAGCTCTCCCCCTGCCAGGTGAATGTACAATGTTTTTCTTTCCAAAATCCTCTCTGGGCGAGCCTGGTCTCTTGCAGGGATGCTATATCAATGTTCAGTCGATCCAATTTCACGTTGATCACACTGACCAGCATGTGTCATTGACCAGCTGCAAGTTTTTTATCTGTCGCATGCACATGATGGTCCTCAAAAATTTGAAGAGTCGGCGTCTTCTTTCATTTTGATGGATTTGTTTGTTTACCGAAGACAATGGGTTCCATTCACGTGCTGAGCAAAGACTCGAAACTCCAGCGTCCATTGAGGTAGATGGTGGATAGGCGCCTTCTAAATCAAGGGTTTCTTCACTTGAGGCAGGTGGGGTCTGGCTAGTGGGACATGATGGTACGTTTTACCACTGGGGGCAGCTCATGGGACCTGTCGAAATGAATCTAAAATTTGTTGGAGACAATAAGGACTGCAGATGCTGGAAGCCAAAGTCTATAGGTGTGAGAATGGAAAAGCACAGCAAGTCAGACAGCATTGGAGGAGTAGGAAAGTCAAAGTTCCAAAACCCTTTGTCAGGATATGACAAAAGGTTTTGGCCCCAAACATTGACTTTCCTGCTCCTCTGATGCAGTCTGACCTGTTGTGCTTTTCCAGCCTCACAGCTATAGACTCTAAAATTTGCTGGATTAGCTGAAATGAAGTTACATGAGATTAAATTAGAATGAAATGAGAAGGAGAAAACATGTGAAACTTGGTGAAGACCTAATGATTAAGAGAGGTGACGTTTTTTTTAAAGTGTTTGTTTTTAGGCTGAAGACATGTGTGTGGTTGTTTACATAAAGCCTTGTAACTCAAGTAGTAATAGGCTGAACTGTCAGAAAAACTGTAGAAAAGCTGAATTTTTATTTAAAACCAACACAGTGAATCAGATGTGATAATATAGACTACTTATCAGCTGAGATAGTAGGAACTGCAGATGCTGGAGAATCCGAGACAACAAGGTGCAGGGCTGGATGAACACAGC